GGGCCTATATTAGAGAATTTACGGTATATAGCTTTATTTTTTTGGCATTTAAAAAAAAATACAGGAATGAATACTTGCATGAAAACCTTATATTAGTTTCTCCAAGTCACTGATATAATTATGTAATTATTATTATGTTATTATTGCTAATAGTGAGTTTTGAGTATAATTTAATGGAAATCAGTGCCTTAACATATAAAGCATTATGCTGAAAATAATGTCAGAAAAACAAAAAAGACGCATGTAACTTTTTAGCTTCTGCTATGAGTGTGTGGAGAGAAATGTGTGCACATACAGGCGTGGTGTGTAAACAAGGCTGCTAAGTAAACACAAGTATGAGATGCTGCAATTAGACAAAGTATAAAGTCACATATCTGGAATAACATCTATAATTGAAAGTAAGAAATACAGTAGGTGTCCATAAAAATGTGACAAGTGATGCATATGGAGAGAAAAAAAATCCTACATTAAAAGGTCTACAATAAAAAATCTTCTGTTGACTAAAGGCTGAGTTATATATTTGTGATTCCTGTTTTGGTCGGAATATTTTATAAAATAGATACCGGTAGTTAAAATCACATCCTTACCATCTGATTTTCAGCTTCCTTGAAACCTTGGATAATGTTTGCCAAATAGATGTGCAGTCTGAGACCTCACAGCTGAAACTAAAGAGCCTTTGGGATTCAAACCTGACAAGTAAAATCTCATGATTCAGAGTTGGCTGAAAATAGTGCTTCACCCTTTGAGAAGTTAGACAGGTTAAGAACAGGCTGTGCAGCACAGCAGCTTTCTTTTAAAAGTGTAAGTTCTGAATAGAAATATCTTGCAAAAATATCTACTTTGGATTTCAGAACTCCTTTTTTTAAGTGTAAATTAAGCTATCAGATTCTATAAACAATCTTTAAATAAAAAGTTCAAAAAGTGTAAGCATGTTTCACATGTTCTTTGATTTTCATTATGATTTCTTCCAATTCTGTGCAGCACAGGTCAGAGTCAGGGAGCCGTGATCGAAAAGTTTATATGGCAAGGTCCCTTTACATGTCCAAGCATCTGTCTTTGGGTCATAGCACTCCAAAGTGTCCAAGTCCTCTATGACATCATGGCCGCTGACGTAACGACCACCTGTGATGTAGAGCTTGTTGTTGAGGCAGGTGGCAGCGTGGTGCATCCTTCGCTCCTTCAGGTTGGCACACTTAATGAAGTCGTTGGCTTCAGTGTCATAGGCGATCACTCTCCTGGTGTATCCTGTGACAGCAGAGGCATTAATATGAGAGAAAGCATGCATCTGGGACAGCATCACAATTTATCAATGCTTCAGAAAATTTACATCCTTAACATTTTTTTAAACTGTTCCTTTATAAGATAAGCAGATTTTTTTTTTTTTACTTTTAAACCAACAAAATAACAAATAATATGTATACATGTCAGAATGTCATTGTCTTGTAATTATCTCGATATGTACTGTATTTAAATATATCATAGAAGACATAGAACATAACAGACGGACATTTCTGAAAAATAAAACAATGCAAGAATATATTTGTTTCTATCAATATTTTATAATAAAGAAACTTCCAAAATATTTTATTTTGTTGTTAACATTCAGTTAAATCGCATCAAGCAACATTTCCTCCAATTGCTGACCAGTCTAACATGTTTCACTGCAAATTAAAGAATATATCTTAGTAGATGAGCTTTTAGCAATCGACATTGAAATGCCTCCTCCCAAATAACCTTAGCTCACTTCACCAGGTTCTCTATCAGATTCAAGAAAAGTCCCAGGCCAGGCTGATTTAAAATCCTAATATTAATTAAATAAATGAAGTTTTTATTTAATTCGATCATCTTCTCAAACCAATTTTGAACCTTCCCCTGTATTTAAACATATATGAGTTACTTAGTTGAGTCTTAGACCAGTGACACCTTTTATGGGTTATTAATTTTCTACATTACACTGTTTCTTTTGTTTAACTTCTTTAGATTGTCTGCCATCTATGTTGATGATACTTAAATGGCAATAGAAGCTGAAAATAACTACAGTCCTGTGGTGTGTTTTATCTATTGAATTATAATCAGTTTTAATCTAACAATTGCAATCAACAACTCATGCTATTGTGTTGACATACTCATGCTGCTCTTCTTTGAAAGTGTGATTTTATTATTGATTAATTTGGAGTTGTTACTCGGTCTGCACTGGAGCAAGATCAGCCTTACAGTTTTCATCTTGCCTCACCTTGACATCTGAAATACAGTTAGGTCAGGTATTAGTCAGAGGTCCTACCATTCTGGCTCAACATGATGCAGCTCAACTCTTCGGCAGGTCTAAAAGACATGAAAGCTTTACTTGCTTTCCCCCCTTCAGTGGTTTCTTGATAGAATCTGAATTGATTTTTTTTAATCTTCCCTCTCACCTTCAAAGCTTTAAATGCCCAGCCTCTGAATGCATCACACAGACTCATTGACCTGCCATGTTTCCTGCTGACCACTCTAATCTGTTGACAGCTCCCTGTTTACTGCTCCCAAGTCACCTCTTGTAGGGTTGTTTAATCTTACACAAACCTTAAACCAATAATTTGTCAAAGCCTTTATTCATTTTTGATCATTTTCAAACATTTATGATAGTGATTTTCCATCCAGCCAGACTGACTATTATTTCTTTGAACCATGTTTTTGAAACAGTTTTTTTTTCAAATGGTGTATTCTGACAGTGCTCCTCTAAGTACCTCCAATGATGTAGATTTTGTTATGCAGGACAACAGCAGGAGCAGACACATTCTTCACTGTTCTGTTTTCCATCTTAGACCACATGTTCCTGCCAATATGATACACCTATAATTGAGACAGGAAACAAAGAGGGAGAGACCTTATGTGAGTGGATACTGGTGGGAGAAGGGGTAAACAAAGCACAAAAAGGAGACAATGTTTTGAGTTCACCTGTATCAGTCTGACTGGGCTATGTGTAGCATCCTGCCCTCCAAACATGTAGATTCTGTGGTTGGTTGCAGCAACTGCAGGGTGCAACACAGCCTCTGGCATTGGTGACACTGCTTCCCATTGGTTGAACATACTGTTGAACCTTAAAACAATGTTGAGAGGTTGTTTGTTCCAGTTTTACCAGTGATACTTGCTTTTATTAGTGTCAGGAGACTCTGACTGCAGTCTCACCTTTCCACACTAGCTGCCAGCTGTCTATCAGATCCAAGGCCTCCCAGGACAAAGATGTAGTGCAGGTAGGAAACACTCTGGTGGGCAAAGCGAGGCTCCAGCATGGGCTCTGCTGTCCTCCACTGGTTGGTCTTAAGAGAGAGGGTGTAGACCGTCCGGCTGACTTGGCTACAGTTTGTGGTCAAGCCTCCAACAACATAAAGTATGCTGTGAAGGGCTACATAGGAAGCTTTGTGAAGACGAACAGGGAGCTTGGCAAGATGCTGCCATTTTTGGTTCTTTTCATCAAAGACCAAGGCCTCCCTTGAAGTTTGTTCATTGTTTCTCCTTCCTCCCACAACCACTAAGGTATCATCATAACTGCAGCGCTGTGGTGCAGCCCAGAGAGGTTTAAAGTCAACCACAAAGTCTCTGATGCTTTTTGTCCCAATTGAAAACATGAGCCGCCTTACAGATTCAATGATCTCAGTGCAGAGAGTAGATGACTGAATCAGGGGGTCATTTGCAATGAACTGGAAGAGGTAAGTAGGGTGTAAATGTCGAAGACGAACCTTTTTAAAAAGGCTGCTGATGGTCCCGCGCCTTGAGACAGGATCATGGTGGATCCATGCAACAAGTGTCTCAAATACTTGCTCCTCGTCAGCACAAATGCTGTCATCATTCAGGTACCAAGTTAGTTCCTCTAAAGAAAGCTCACACAGATCCTCAGACAAGGACACGTCACTGAAACGTTTCATGGCCATTTCCTTTGCTTTTTTCCTTAAACTTTCACAGTTCATCATCTCTGAGAGTCTGATCATACTTAAGCAGTTGTCTGGTCTCAGTTGTGCCTGAAGGAAATCTGAGCATGCCTCAAATAGGCGGCCATATTGCAACATGGATGCCGCCTGCATTATATGGAGCACATTCTCCAGGTCAATGCTAATGAGTCCAGTGTAAACGTAGTCAACAATGCTGCTTAGAATGGCAGGTTTAACTCCTTTCATCTCAACCTTGCTTTGCTGTGTTTCCATGAAGTTGTTGCAGAACATGGCTCTGAAGTAGGGGCTGCTGGACACCAGAACGTTACGGTGGCAGGGGATTTCAGTCATACCAGCGCGCAGGACGACGTCAGTCAGGATGTTCTCCTCCCTCAGTTTGTTCAGCTGCAGAAGCAGGGCGGAGGAATGTTCAGCATCTTTGTAGTGAAGAACTTCAACCGCAGGCAGATCCATCCTGGGAACAGACAATGTTGACCCGTTTGTTTTTATGTTTTTAAAGTTCTGTTGCACCCTCGTAAATTTACAGGTCACATTTGGAGGTATGGCTGAGAAAGACCATGTCAGAGATTAAAATATATGTCAAATAAAATATTTTTTTCCTAATATAAAATAACTTTCCATGAGATCAAGCAATTAATGGGGATTTAGGAAAATGTACAATAAATTCACTGAACAGTCATGATTTACTTTCTGAAGAAATATGTACTATGATCCTTTAACATTTAGTGCCTATTTACTAAACGAATCAGTATCACAAACAATGACCAGGATTCATTCAAATTACTCTACCATCTTCTTAAGCTTTATGTGACAAATAAAAGTCGTCAAACTTTTATAACTACTTCCTCTTTAGAAAATACTAAATTGTCCAAGAATCCCCATGCGGATAACATTTCAAAGCAGATGTGCAACAATAAGTCAGTTTAGGTCAAAAAAGGATTCTTGTTTAAAGGATCGAGTTAAATATTTTATCCATTTTCAAGATTAAAGGTGAAATAACTAACAAAACACTAAGGTCTGATTCAAATATTCCAAAGGGCTGCAAATTTGTATTTGCGAAAAAAGTATTGCACATGCAATAAGTGGCCGTGTTGTTGATGAGCTTAAAAAGTCGTCCACACAAATAAACCTGTTTTGTTCTGCTCTGTCTAAATGAGTAGATTGTCAACTTGCAGTTTGAGAGAGGCCATAAAGGGAAAAGAAGATTCAAAGCCATATAGTTGGAGGTATTAATGACAATAATCGTAAAAAAAAAATATATACTAGAAATATTATTTGAAGGTCACTTGTGCTACGTTAGTAGACAAAGTGTTATGAAAACAGGAAAAAATATAAAAAGATGAAATTAAAGAAAATGTTTAATTATAAAAAACAAAATATTACCGGTATACAACATGGGTAAGTTGTCATTGTCTGCTGATTGTCGCTTGCCACATGAGCCAAGAGCCTCCATGCACTGGAAAAATTATCTAAAAATAAGTAAAAATGTCCTAAATTAAGTGTATTTACCCTTAATTTGAGTAGGTAATTGAGATAGTTTGCCAATGGAATGAGTATTTTACTCTTAAAATAAGATAATTAGATATAATTCTCTTGAAATAAGAAAATGCAATTGTATTTTCTTATTTTAAGTGTAAATTGTATTGTTCTATTGGCAAAATATCTCTTTTACCTCCTTAATCCAAGAACGAATGCACTCATCGATTTTTTTTTCCAGTTTGCACCTTCAAGATTGTGATGAATGTTTTGTGTCACTGTCAATACTCCTCTTTTGTCTTTTTTCATAAATTTGTCTAATATTGAAATTCAATAATTTTGTATTTTGCTTTATTTTAACCATATAAAGAATGCCTGCCTTTCCGCTGCTTTTGGGCGGAGACTTTAATTTTCTCCATTAATATTCTGCTATTATTATTTCTGACAGTCCCAATATTTCTACATTTGTTTTAGTAATCACAAACCTTTTAATGATCCGGCCCTAAGTTGGAAAGTCATTAGTCCCTTATCATCCTCAAAATCCAAGATGGTTCCTTGTCAGATCTAATTTAATTCAGATTATTTGTTTTTTTAAAGATTTATTTTTCAGGTTGATGTTCATTAAATAACTTGCCAAAGTGATTCCAAAAGAACACACAGAGAGAAATCGATTGTCATTGCTTGTATTGCTAACTATTGCTAGTGTTGTCTCTGAGCATATCCACCAGCAGATCCTATTGGTTTTCTGATGGAATTGAAACATGGTTTAGTTAGGCTGGATGTCATCCTTACATTCAACATTTCATTTTCAGAATTACAGCTTAAACAGCCACCAGTACTAGTTACTAATCCAATGTGTTTGTGCTTTAAAATCCAACATTATTCTACATTCACATCTCGGTTCACTGCTCCTATTTAGCTAGGAAGAACCTGATAGGTCTTCTAATTTACACATGGAAGTTTTGGGTTGTGCAGTTTCACTTGTACACAATCACTAAAACAACCTAAGTCCTGTCTGTAGTATTTGTACCACAGCCTGAACACCACTGAATTTACATTAACACTTGAATTCATTTTACTGAACGATGTAGTTTGTTAGTATTCACTGCAGGCTAGCACTTCTGCTTTCAGCTATTTATAAAAAGTGGATGTGTTTATGTGATCAGTCATGGTTACTTGTCACACTATCAGTTATCTTTTTTCCATTGTTTCCACTATCTGCGGCTGCAGCTTTGCCCTCTTTTTATTTCATGCTTTATAAAAGCAAATACATGTGATGATTTACTGGGGAACAAAATGCAGTTCATCAGTATAGCACCTTGTCTGAAAAAAATATCCTCAGTGAGTCTAAAATAATCTTGCAAACAGAAAACCAATGCATGAAATGCCCCATTGCAGATCGCAAAAACACCCGCCTAAAGATCCCTTACCTGTTTCCTCTTTTCTTTCTCAGATTTGGTTTCTAGAGAGTCTTTAAAATGAAGTCAGAAAAAAAAAAACATTCTGCTATGCATCTTCTTCCTCGTTCTTGTGATGATGCTATGCATGAGCTTCTCTCTTTGTAGCCAGAGAGTTGCACACTGTTTGTTGTTATGGTCTCTTTCCACGATGCCTGTGTGCATTCCTTCCCCTAAAAATAGGGTCCCCTCTTTGGAAACACTGCTACAGACTCACACGTGACACAGATGAAAACTTTCTGAGAAATCTGACTGACTTCAGTGCCTAAACATCTTATTTTCTCTACACGTCCTCTTTCATTCCTATTTCAAAAACATATAAACATTTAAAATGTCGCCTTTCACCTATATTCACCTGATCATCTGTGTCTCTGCCCGGAACATGATTGCAACAGTAACACCATCATAGATAGCTGATACTTGAACACTCATTTTGCTGTCTGCTCGCTCTGCCAGGCCGTCTGCTGGAGCTCACAGGGATATAAAAACAAGATTATGTTACTGTTGAAGCAACATAAACTGTGAAATCAAGGAGTTTGGCATTCAAGCAAAAGCACAAGTACATGTAGAATATTCTGGCAATGGAGAGAGATTTAAAAACAAGTTGCAACAAGTTCTTAGGGATTTATAATCACACAGGAAGCAAGATGTTCGGAGGGTAATCTGTGAAAAATAAGGGCTTGGCTTCTTTTACAGACAGTGTTCAGAACGATTCTAATTCAACTGTACATAAGAGAAAGATGCTGGAGTTTCCTGCGGTTGTTTTTTGTTTGCTTCTTGAAGCTAATTTCCATCTCATTTGTTTTGTGCTTCCTAGGATAGAAAAGGATTGTCTGCTCGTTCCCTCTACTGCTGGAGAAGAATCAAAGCAGGGTCCTGAAATGTGGGCAGAATAAAGCAACAAAAAACAACAAAAAAGTGTTTTTTCTAATCACATTTACAGATGTACCATGTTTTCCTTGTACCCTCGGCTTTGATACAGAGCACAGCAAATTAGACACAAAAGCAGCTTGAGCTACTCGTGGGCGCAGGAATCCATTTAGTGATCAAAAGCAGAAGGTTTGTGCGTTCAGATATGTTATAGTTGGGAGAAATGTTAGTGTTGTTATGAACACTGGAGTCATTATAATCCTGGCATTAGACACAGGAATATCTACAAATGAAGTAACACCTAAACAGCATCATCTAGTGGCTCAGCTCTCAAAACCTATTTTAAGAACAAACTAAAGTGAACTTCTCTAAAAGTTTGACTTGCTTCTCCTGCCAGTGTTAAAAAACAGAGTTTATGTTTTATTTCAAAAAACAAAGAATAAAGAGATATATTTAAACTGTCTCATAGGTCTACTTTGTCAGATGTACAGCTTAAAGTGTTTGCTTTGAGCTCCAGGCAGTGTCAGCCCATCACGCATACATCACACCCATTCAGGTCTGTGATTGCATCTTTCTTAAACTTGGGCACATTGCCTGCCATCTCTGTTCCTTCACCTTGACAAAGAAGAGTCATTAATGTCTGCCTGCAGGCAACAAGTTATATTAGAAGTTGATGCTGCTGCAGAGCATTTTTTCACACAGGAGCCAAAAAAAAGGAATTATTAAAGAAAAAAAAAAGAAACTGTTACCACCCACCATTATTATATCCTCATATCACCATGATTATCTTATCCTGAGCGTTCGGTTTAATAGAAGCAATACACAAGGGATTTCGATCTCACTGGTGTGTGTGTGTGTGTGTGTGTGTGTGTGTGTGTGTGTGTGAGAGGGGAGTTTGAAGGAAATGTGTGATCTTAG